AGTTTACTGCTCATAACATGCACACCGTACTCTGTAGTTTTTCAAATATTTGATAGCCACAGCACCGGACTTGCCACCCAGTATTCCTTTAATATAATCTAGAACTTAGAATGGGATGTTCTGTCGCAAACTTTTCCAGGTGTATTAAGCAGGAATCTTTCGCAATTCTTTCGCATGCTCTGGCGATTTTTGCGGACTTGGCGGAGAATGAGGAACGGTCTGAACGACTTTAGTTTAGCTGGCGGGTTGATAACGTACATAGCTCGTCCGTAACATTCTGTGCTATCAGTTCTAAGCATCTGTTGTTCTTGCGTTAAACTTTACTGCTCAGGTTAAACAACAAGACTCCTGGTAATTGAATCTGTCTCGCCTTCTAACGCGAAAACAACATCGTTCGAGAGTGTCACTAATTCGATGCTTTTTTAGCACTCCATCCGGTCTCGCCCACGCAAGTCAGTCAGGTCTTTCCATTCTGATTCAAGGCCTTTAGCATGGTGTTGTGATATGATCGTACCTTAATGGGCGAGATGTGCGACCGTTCTCTTATATGCTTCATGTGACTGCAGTTAACCTTGAGCCATCCGATAGCTGACTCCAAATGTGATAATCAGCACAAGGTGTGACCCCTTTTTTGCTGTTGTTTTATCTCCTCGGGTAAAGTTTCTTCTTCCACAATAGGTTGACTGTTTTTCAGGGAGTTATTTTCTTAATGTGAGAAACTGCATTCGTTCCCAATATTTGTTTCATAGATATCGCCAGTATCTGCTGAATCTAAATTTAAGATGCCCTCAAAGAGTACTCTTTCCATTTCCAGCAAATGTTTTCTTCACGGTGAAGTTTTAAACAGAAATTTTCACACACAGAAAGTGCTTGATATTCTTTCACGCAGGCGATGAACAGTCTGCCAGATACTTTGCTTGCCAACCAGTAATCAGTGATTCTCCGCATTTTAAATACTTTCAGAGCTTTCTTTAAATCTGTCATATATTTCAAGCAGTTTGCTTGCTCACTGTTGGATATATGTCAACATAGTACTTTGTTATGGATTTACCAGTATGTTAATGTTTCAGTAATTTGTACTTGGTTGTTGAAGCTGGCACGTCCGATTAAAGATTTGCTTGTCTGTCTCGCCCAAGGCCACCATTTACTTAGAGGCTGCATGTCTATAGACATTGCTGGAAATAAATAGATCTGACTTGCTGTAAAAAGTGCTGCACTAATTTTTAAAATGAATTTTTGGCGCATGGTGCCCATGTTGCTAATGGCACGAAACCAAGTATCATTTCTGAAAATATACTCTTAACGTGTTCACACTAATGCTTATTGCAACAACCTTTATTGCTACACGGTTTAGTTTTCCGTTCTTTAAACGTCGCTTGGTAGTCAGTCGCCCTTACGGCACATAATCGACAGTGTCGTGATCAGTATCATTTTTCTTGTACCTCTAAATTGTTTCAGGCGGGTGCTTTATTTTTGCGCTCGAGCGGTGTAAATCGAGTACCAAAAGTATTTTTGAACGGATACCCTATAGAGGACTCAGCGGTAATTGAGAGCGTCAGACGTTTCACCGCTGTTCGGTAATGACTGTTTTCAGCTGACTTTGGATCGATTTGAGGACACGATCATTACAGAGGTGTCTCGAATCACCTCAAAAATACAGCAAGATGTATTCGAGGTGGGTTTCAGAAATATGTGGGTTTGATGTCAGTGTATGTTTCATCTCCCGATTCCAGGGCAAACTGAAAGATCGAATGGATGTTCAACAGTATCTTCTGAGCAAACCTGACGTGATGCCTAAGCTGAACTTTCGAATTTTGTCTTCGAACCCATGGTGTTTGGATTTGACTGATATCAACGGTGCAGAGTAATTCAGTTATCTGATTAAAATCTATCATACTTGTTTTAGAGTATGAAATAAAGGGCCTTAAAGAATTCGATCTATTGACAAAGCAGCAACGTAGTCAGTATATTATTCAGAAAATGTCGTATCTGGTAAAGAACGACGAACCCGTACTGAGACCGGTGACAATGTGGTTGGTGATTGATGTCGAAACTGAAAAAGGGCGAAATGTTCTGCGGACTGCTCTTCTTCATTTGGTATGGGCCATCATTTCTATTTCAAATTACGTCAGTTTGGCTTGTCTCTTTAGAAGCACAGCCAGGTGACGCGCATTGGCATAATCCACAGCCTTTCAGAAATGCACGCAGAAAGCAAACTGGCGCTGGCGATACAGGGATGCCTCAATCTGTTGAATCTATATCAGGCGAAGCTGGTTCTTCAGAACCTCCTTGACGCAAAGATCAAAAATTGGTCAGACCTGGACGTTGCAAAAATTCATGTGAACCATTTAAATTAAAGTGCTTCCAAACGATGGCGCTGAATGAAGCATTTTTAGGGAGTCGATTGGGCGGCTTTTAAGACGGAAGTTTCCTTGATGGCAAATGATGTGCTTTCAATTCATGCGCGTTTTGTGGCCAGTGTTTTGAATTTTCAACCCGGTCAAATGGGCATTATCAGCAATGGTCAAGTACTCCTTGTCATTTTTGCGCGGTAAGATGGCAAAAAAGTGCTTATGATTGATTAAGGTTTTTGGGCCATTTGACGAAAATGAATCGTTTGACCTACAGGATTTTGATTTGTTGGAGAAATATACTCTTTCCAGAGGAGCGGAACTAGTTGCCGAACATCTTGAGACATCGCGCTCTCTTGGCAGAAAAGGAAGGTACGACTCTCATGGGCATATTGTTGCTGTTTTTTATTTCACTTTTTTTACCATACTTTATATGAATATGTTTGTTGAGAATTGAGTAAATTCAGCCTGGAGCTACAATAAGCAGCTTAGACACATTGAGAAACTGATACAAAAATCATAAATTTTTTAAAAAGTTCAGACGTTTAGAATTACGCACCGTACAATCGAAGGTTTCGTGCGGCCCGCAGTAGCTGGTTGTGCATTTTTATTTGAATACGATATGTTATCTGCCGTGTCCTGATTGCGGATACGTTAGGCAACCATCGACCGCTTTAATTTTTTTTTGACAAATTCTTTATCACTGTGGCCAAGGAGGAGAATAACATCCGTATTATGTGACCCTTTTATCAGTTGCTACTGTGCCTGTTGTTCATTTACCATTTCTCGGTGAACATGGGGTCGTCAGCGGTGATATTGGATGTTTCTAATGTAAGTAGCTCAGAGTTTGTTTTGGTTCAGTTTCCTTCTCGTCAGTAATGTTTAGACGTTTAAGAACTCGATTTAAGAACCTAATATTTTTAGACCTGGCGATATGGTGATGAGAGTCGTTTCTCTTGTCTTAGGCCGAGGTGGTTTGCACAGACGGCATAAAGTGATGGTAGACGAAATGAAGCACAGGTATTGCGCGTATTTTTCTCACAACTGTATTCGTTATTTCTAGTGTTTAGTGGAGTTTTTGTTCCGGCTCCTAAATCTGACGCCTCTAAGATAGATATCGTTGCGATTATTGATCCGTTAAGCCGACATTCGCAAAAACTGTCTGCGTTGCTAAGCGTGAGTGCTTTCAACAGTTGTTGCTACCGCTGATCAATTCGCACGACGTGAAATGACATTTCGTATTTTGTAGGTGTTGACTTCTGTCGTGAATTCAGATGTCGGAGTCATAATGAACTGTAAACCGAAACTGTCGGCGATGCCGCTCAAAAGCTTTTTCCGATTTGTATTGCCGTTCGAGTTGGAGTTTTTAGATGACGGCTCAATTAAAGCAGGTTCTTACGCACGATTTTCGAACCTTCCAAGCAAACAACTACTGACGTTAAACGTGATTCCACCTGATCCATGGCTCGTCGAAGCGGTGGACGCTACGTATGATTTGGACAACATTAAAATGGATGATGTGAGTGCTTACCAATCGCTTACCACGAACATTTGTGACTTTGAGTGTAAAGGCCGTATCAGATGTCATCGCGCGCTATGAGTTGGAATATCTATTGCTCGAGGGACATTGTTTTGACGAAGCGAGTGGAGGCCCTCCCAGAGGACTACAGTTCGTGCTCGGCACGTCGCTGTCGCCAAACATGGTCGATACAATCGTTATGGCAAACCTGGTCCGTTGTCCGTTTGTTATTTCGCTCATTACCATACATCCCGTCTTTATGCATACTTTTCTAGGGTTATTTTCAGCTGAAGGCTAATCCGGGCGTTTGGTCGTTGTCATTGCGTGAAGGAAAGTCGTCCGATATTTACCAGATCACAACGTTGTTGACTAATCGGACCATGCGTTGCAGCCGTCTATAGTTGCTATTTTAGGCATGAGAACACCGATTCGTCGTTTCATCAGGAAAATGTCACGATCGTGATCAGCAGTTTCTCGGGCAAGATAATCAAGATTAAAGTATAATAGATGGTCGCTTTACTTTATAGCACAATTAGTCGACTAGCGCGCACTGTCTTCAGGTTTCCAAAAAGCCAGACAAACTCGGCGAAGACCTCCTGAGCGATGCTGACGATCAGGACGGGAAATCAATATGGCAGTCGCTTTCAAAGTTGGGCGTTTGTGTCAGTTCTGCATCTTAAAACAGTAGAGAGAAGCAATATCTTCACCTTAAGTTCAATGAAAGTTTGTTATCCGACACTTGTCGGAGTTAGGTTAACCACGAATTACGTTACCCAATTCGCATATCTCATTACGAAAAGTCGATTGTGTAAGAATAATAGAGTACTTGCGTACTTTCGTGGGATATTCATATTGAACATAGTCGTATGGCAAATAAGTACTGTTTCGTCGCACTGATCTTTTACCGAGTTAATCGACCAAGAATTTCTGATTTGGACACCAGTCTGATATGTACACCGGTTGCTGACATGACGAATTGTTGAAGATTTTCTGAACTTTCTCTTAACTACGTTTCTATGGAATAGGACGTTTCGGCTCAGGCCGCTGGTTCTGGTCAGCGCTTTTTCCTGCTGTCGCCGCATTGAATCTGTATGACTAGACAGTGGTGAGCTTCATCACCTGTGTGAACCTGCCCATCATGTTTTACATTAGTAAATTGTTCCCTGAGAGGGAAGTATGATGCTGTTTTCAAACTAGTGAATTTCTTATTTCAGTAACACTATGATGACTGTCCAATGTCAGTAGGTCAGCACGCAGTCTGCGGTCATGAGTTTGAATTTATGTCATTGGCAGATGGTCATCTGTATTAATTATGTGACTTTGTCTTTCATATTGCCTATCACTGGGAAGCGTTTTGCGATTACAGTGCGATGCCGATGCCGTTGTCAAGCTGTGAACGTCGATGATTTTAATTTTATTTTATGATTCCATCATGGAGTTTACGCGTTGTCGCTCGGTCTGCGCGCAGTTATTTGATAGGGAGTCAGATATATTATTGCCGATGGTCATCTGTATCAATTACTTGATTTAATCCCTCAAGTTGGCGTTTTCATTTTATCATTTTTTCAGTGCAATGGCATAGTATTTTCCCATTCTCGAATGAATGGAGTTTTTCCTGACTAACACGGATTTAGCACCTATTTTACGGTCATATTCTGTTGAAATTTTATCCGCTGCCCATTGGAAATAATCGTAGAAGCAGGGGAACAGATTGAGAAGTTTATGTACCTCTTGTTGCTGTTTACTGGCGAGGAAGATATCGACCGACAAATTGGAATATTCAGCAGTATTCTGTATAAATTATTCTGAAGCACTGTGATTAATGCAGAGCTGAGTCGTAAGGTTAAACTCTCCGTGTTTAAGTCG